GGCCCGGGCAGCCCCCAGCCCAGCCAGGCCTCGCCCCTTGCCGAGTGCATGAGGTTGACGCTACTTTGTTGCACCTGGAGGGAAGAACGTATGGGAGAGGAAGGTGCGCGGGGCGCGGGCTGGGCGGGGGTGCGGGGGGCGCGGGAGGGGTCGGGCCGGCGTAGTGGAGGCCGGGGCTGCGCGAGGCCGCACCCCTGCCTCCTCGGGCTGAGCCCGGAAGGCCCCTCCCCGACCGCCCCCCGCCCGATTCCCACTTCTGGGCCCCCCGGCTGGGCTGCTCTCCCGCTGGCGAAGGGCCCCTTCTCCATTCTCTCTTTCATTCTCGCCTTCTCCCATCCCCCGACCGACAGCCACCCAGAGGAGTCCCGGGCACTGCCCTCACTAGCCCCCGTCTCCGGCACAGTGTTCTGTCCACCCAGGGCTCACCCTGTGGCCACCCCTTACTCAGTCTCAAACCCGGCCTAGGGAGAAAGAGCGACTGAGGAAGCCGAAGCCCTGGGTCCGAGTCTCCACCCCGTTGCTGCCTGGCTCTGTGACCTTGAGCCACGCCTTCCCACTCTGGGCCTCAGTTTCCCTGTCAGTTTAGTCGGAGGCAAGGTAGTTGGCCCCGGTACTGGTGGGCAGAGCAGATAGATGCCGTCCGGGGATCTGGAGGCAGTATTCAGCCCCTTGATGGAGCCCCAACCCTCTGTCCTCTCCCTGCACCAAACCCAGTACCTGCCATTGGCCTTGGCCCGTTGGACCGACTCATCACAGCCTCCCTTTCAGCCCCTTTCCCCTTACTGGGGTCCAAGGCTTGGGGTTAGCACCACAGTTAGTGCTCAAAGACCTGAGACTCCCCCAACCCAGGGCAGGCCCTGGGGTCTCCTTCCCTGGGTTTTCTCCACTCAGCCATCACATAAGCAGGTCCTGACTCTGGAGAGCCTCTCCACCCTGCCCTCCCCTGGCACTCTCACCAGCCCTCCACCCAGGCCTGCTTGGGGCAAGCACCACCTCACCGCTTCCCCTGCCTTGGGTCCCAGGTATCTCATGGAGGGGCAGGCCATGGCTTTGAGCCTGGCTATGTGATCTGGGCAAGCCTTGCTCCTCTCCAAAGCTCACTCAGTCTCCCCATCTGTACGGTGGGGTGGGGCAGGGCTAGGGGGTCTTTTGAGGCCCACCCAATCCAAGGTTCCAGGCCCTAGGGATGACTAAGCATGCCTAGTGGCTGGCTTGAGGAGGTGCCAAGCCTCCTGGAGCAGGTGTCTCAGAGTGCCCGCTCTGCAGCCCCAGCCCTTCATCAGACCCGGGCATAGTCGAGGCTCTGTTGTGGCCAGCACCTCTGGGCTTTCTGCCCGTCCGCTCCCCAGAGGCTTCTACCCAGGATGCCCGAGCCCGGCCCTGTCCAGTCCCTGCCCTTTGAGAGCCCTCTTAGCACCTCTTCCTGGGCAGGCAGGGCCCAGAGAGGAAAAAAGGGCTATGACAAGAGTGTGACCTGTTGCCTTATTTCTAAATCCCATCACGCCATTTTGCCCCCTTTATTCTGCCAGACCCTGAGTTGAAGAAGCTGTTGCTGCAGGATGGACATTTGGTTCTCCTCCTCAGTTTACAGATAGGGAAACTGAGGCCCAGAGAGGCTTGTTAACTTAGCCAGTGTCGCAGCAAAACTCAGACCAACGTCCCTTCTTCTGTTCTTCAGGCGCTGCGAGCGTGAGAGCATTCGTGCAACTGCACGTGGGGTCGGCAGGGCAGGCTGGGCCTGTATCCACTCCTGAGAATGGTTCCCAACTCCCTTTGCACCCCTGCAGGAAGCGAGTTGCCCGTGTGTGCGAGCTGCGGCCAGAGGATCTATGATGGCCAGTACCTCCAGGCCCTGAATGCTGACTGGCATGCAGACTGCTTCAGGTAGGGCGGGCCTGGCCGGGGCGGCAAAGGCCAGCCAGAGACCAGAGGCTGGGTGGCAAGGAATCTGGGAGACCTGGATGTTCCTCCTGGCGCAGTCTCTAGTCTTGATTTCCAGCAGGTTTCCCTCTCTGGCCTCAGTTTCCCTATCTGTAAAATGAGGCATTTTGACAGGAAGATCTCTAAAGGCCTCTGTTGTGCCATTCTAAACCTCTAGGTAGACGGTCAGTGAAAAAGAGGAAGACCCTCAACAAGGTGGATTGACCTAGTGGCTGCAGCAGTGGGCTGAAGCATAACAACAATCATGAGGATGGCGTAGGACCGGGCAGTGTCTCATCCTGTTGTACAAAGGGTCGCTATGAGTCGGAACCAACTCAACGGCACCTAACAATGACCTAACCAACTTCTAAGGAGAGGAAGGGAGAGACTGCATTTCAGCTAGTGTTACCAAGGCCTGCTGGCACCTCGGCAGGGGAAGGAGGTGGCAGCAGTGGAGGGCAGTGCATCCTGCCTTCTAGGTGCTCATGCTCGCGGTGGGAGAAAAACCAGCTTCCTTCATGGGGCCCCGGGCTGTTGTGAAGGTGTGTAGCCCAGCAGGATCAGCCCCCTCCCTTCAGACAGATTCCCAAGTGTAGGAAAAGAATGGGTCGGCGCAGTGGCCAAGGACAGGGCAGAGCATCCAGGGACCCAGAGGTGGCCCAGTGAACCCAGTAGGACCATCCCGAGAAGCCAAGTGTGGAGATGGCAGGTCTCCAAGGATGTGCGATTTTCTTGGTGGAAATGGAATGCCAGGCGGAGGGCCTGGGTTGTGCAAAGCATGGAACCGTGACGTGGCCTGAGTTGGTCAGTGAACAGCCAGGTTCTGGTGGGGAAGTGTAGTGAAGGGGGGACATGAAGCTGGAGTCCAGCACTGCCGGGAGCACTGACTGCCAGCCAAAGGAATTTGGGCTTTAGACAGTGGGAGCTTCTGACAAGGTTTTGGGTTTTCTTTTTTAATAATGACGTCTAACATTTTCTTACATTTAGTCAGGGCCAGGCACTGTCCTAGGTGCCATGCAGTTAAATATTGTTTCCATTTTACCCAAGGAAATGGGAACACAGAGAGGTTAATTCTTCTGACCAAAGTCACACAGCCAGGGAGGGATGTGAACACACAGCGCCCACAATGGCTGGTGAGGCCAGAAGAGAGGCAGGCACCTGCACTGGGGTCCCGAAGGGTTAGGGTTAGGGAGGAGGGGGCTCAGCAGGCAGAGGAGACCATGCTGTGAAGGCGTGGGGTGTGGTAGTACAGATGGCTGAGGGAATGGGAACAGCTCTTTGGGTTGGAACAGACGGTGAGTCGGGCACAGTTGGGATCGGTTGTGAAGAGCCCTGAGTGCCGAGCAGAGGACCTCCTCTGAAGGCAGTGTGGCGCCAGAGAGGGTTTCTGAGAGCTGGGGAGGGGTGGACGTGCTGTCTAGACAGGTCGTCCCAGCAGGCAGGGAATGGACTGTCACAGTAGTTCAGAGTCTGAGCTCATAAGGCCTGACCTAGGATAGTGACTGGGGGTGGAGAATTTCAGATAGAGAAAGTACAGTGTTGGGCAAGTATGAGTCACTGAGCATTCTTTAATGTTATTTCATTACGCCTTCACCATAACGATATGGTGGTGTTGCTAGTTGCTGTCAAGTTGGCTCCAGCTCACGGCGACCTTACCTACAACAGAATGAAACAGTGCCCAGTCCTGTGCCATCTACATGAAGGTTGGTATGTTCGAGGTCATTGTTACAGTTATTGTGTCAATGCGTCTCTTTGAGGGTTTCCCTCGTTTTTGTTGGCCATCCACTTTACCAAACATGATGTCCTTTTCTAGGAAACCATAGGAGTTACGTTATTTGTCCAGTTGGCATGTGAGAAATGGAGGCTGAGAGAAATTAAGTAGCTTGCTGAAGGTTGCACAGCTAAGAGCTGGAAGGCTAATCTTTCTCTTTCTGACCCTAAATCACTGCAGATTTGAAGAGGGGCTGTAGGGTGAGGCATGGGGGACTGGTGAATGGCAGGGGCAGAGTCGAAAGCAATCCTGCAGTTTTCTAACCTGGGTGCTGGGGAGGATGGTGGTCTGTTGATTCTGGTGGAGTTGGGGGCTGGGTTAGAGGTGCCACGGCAGGGTGGCGATGCCCTGCCCAGAGCTAGCCATGGCAAGGCCATAAAGAATGGATCACTCAGAGATGGTGAATAGGATTTGAGATGAGATCAAGAGAAATCAGGGGAAGACCTTTGCCTAGGGTAGCGGAGGGAGATGGGGCTTTAGGAGAATGGGGGGGGTGGGACCAGGGGCAGCCACAGGAGGAAAGCACACGGGCACCCAGCCTTGGAGGGTGAAGCCCCAGGTGGGGGCAGTAGGGAGAAGGCATGTTGGGGCTGTCCCTGGTGTGGCAGGGGGCATGAGGAAGGCCCCCATAGTGAGGGAGGGCCCACAGGTCTTGGCAGTAAGTACCATGGCTTTTCTCATTCAGGAGACATGTCACGGCTACGTGAGTCTTCCTGCTTCTTCCAACAGCCCCCAAAGCAGGCAAGGTTCACAGTGCCCTCAGCAGCTCCAAGACGGGTCCCTGCTTGCCTGGACCATGTCTAACAGGCAGCAGAAAGGGGACCTGGAGACTCTAAAGTCCTTGGGCAGCCAGGTCGGCTTTTGGCAGAGGCCCGAGGCTCTGGGCTCTGCTTGGTTCCCCTCTGGAAGCATCTCAGTGCCATGAGGTGAGGCTGACATAGCCCCTGGGCTCCGAGGCCTTGGGCCTGCTCCTGGCCTCCCTCGAGTGACACCAAGACACCTTTGTCCCAGACCCACACTGCAGGGCCCCAAACCCTCTGAAGGTGCTCAGGGAGGAGGGGTGTGTGAGCCCGGGGGGTGGGGTCCTGCACCCTCCTGTGCAGGGGGAGGGACGAGACCCAATACACCCTGCTCTGGGCTTCTGTCTGCTGCAGCCCCCACCTGTTCTTCCTGCTTCAGGAACCTCCTTGGGTCCCTGAGTCAGTGAGTCAGCTGCAAATATTCACAGAGCACCTACTCTGCACCAGGAACCCTCACATCAACCCTGTGAGGTGGGTGCTATTCATTACAGTCATTTCACAGATGAAGAAACTGAGGCACAGAGTTCAGTAACTTGCCCAAAGTTAGTAAGGAGCAGAGTAGGAACTCAGATCTGGAAGGCTGACTTCAGAGCCTGCACTCAGCATGGCCCAGTCCTGCCTCCAGGGAGCTTGCCTTCTGGTGGGAGAGAACACAGTGAAGAAGTAAATATACTGTCAGGTGCTGGGGAGACAGAAGTGCTCTGAGGAGGTGACGTTTAAGCAGAGAACCAAATATGAAAGAGAGTTTTGAGAGGGTGCGGGGAGGAGCATTCAGGGCTAGGGACTGCATGCGCAAAGGCCCTGAGGTAGGAGCGTGCTTGGTGCCTCTGAGAAACAGCAAGGAGGCCAGTGTGGCTGGAGTCAGGGGTCTGGGAAGGTGTTTAGGGGTAGTCAGGGGCCTGATGATAGATGCCCTTGACTGTGTATTTTCCTTGAGTCTCACGACCTGAGCACCTGTGTGCTGCTTGGGTCTTGGGGCCTTGCCCTTGAGGAAGCTCCAGTCTGGGGGGGAGTGGGCATGTAAACAGAGACAGAGCCACTGGTGCTGTGACAAGTGACCCAGGGGCTATGAGAGTGCTGAGCAGGGAGGGCAGATGCTGCCTGGAGAATGTAGTACTCCTATGGGTAGTGGGAGGGTTGTCATGGGCCCAAGGGATACCCCTGGTGTCAGTACTGGGGCTAAACTGCTTCGAGCCCCGTAGCCCTCCAGCTTGTCACCCCAGGGCTCACCTTTTTCTGTCCCAATGGTCCCACCCTCTGTGAGCCCCACTTCATGGAAGTTTACAGCCAGACCCAGAGTGGTCCAGGCTTCCCTCAGCCCAGCTGCTGCCTCTGGGAGGTCCCTTCCCAGAAGCCTCCAGTGCACATGCCCTTGGGCAGTTGTAGCTCTGGTGACATCTCCCTGGAGGCTGGGTGGGCCGCCCTGGGTGAGGAGGACTGAGCTTGCAGCAGGCACGAGTGTCAGAGCCTGGGCCGGGACACAGCCTGTCCTCTTTGGGGGACCTTTCAGGTGAGGAGGATGTACTGTCCATGGGAAGTCGACCTCTGTTCCCTTGGGGGCAGCACCGGAAGCAGCAGCTGCTTTCAACCTTGTCCCTGTTCTCAGAGAGGCCCTAGTCCTCAGTGCCTTTGTCCGGGAGAGGTGGAGGAGCATGGAGGAACCTCTCGGTGTGCAGGACCGAGGCCGAGTGCTGGCCACAGCCTCTGCCTGGGGTCAGAACCTAGATCCCTCCTCTTCACTTGCACCAGAGCTTAAGGTGCTTAAGCTGCTTCCTGTTTTGGGCTCAGACCAAATCCTTGTGCCCCCACGTTGCTGCATCTTCCTCCCATGCCGGGTGGCCACACTGGCCACACCCTCTGCGGCCTCCAACCCTGAGTGCCTGGAGTGGGATGGGGAAGTGCCTAGTTGGCCCCGCCCCTCCCTTCCCCTGAGGCTGCCAGAAGCCCCTGCCTAACTGCAAAGGATGCTGGCCTCAGTCCTGAGAAGGAGCCACTTCCTCAGAGGGACCAAGTAAGTAGAGAGCCCTCCTCCCCACCTGTCCTGGGCCTCAGTCCAGGCCCCTGGTGTGAGGGTTGGGGGCATCTGTGGGCCAGACCCACCTGGGTCCCCACAGTGAGGCAGGAGAACTGAAACTCCTTGATCATTGGAGCCTCGCCGGGCCCAGGAAGTGGGGGGCGGGGGGGTGCCACAGAGCTTCTGGCCTTTCTAGAACAGGTTCCTTGTGATGTGCGGCTGGTCCTTCAGCAGTTCTGTCTTCTCCCCTGGTGTCCAGGGATGTAGCTCTGGGCAGAGAGCACCCCTGGGAGGGACGGAGCCCATTCCTTTCACTGAGGGTAGTACCAGCTCCTTCCCCGGCCCTCCTCCCCTGCCAGAGCCTGGCTTGGCCTCCCCTGTCGCAGAGAGACTCCCGGGAGGGGGTGTAGGGGCTGGGCCATGTCTACACACCGTCAGTACCTGACACTCCTCTCCGATAGATTTTGTGGGGGCGGGTATGGGGTGCCCAAAGAGCCAGGCCTGTCTCATCCCTCCTGCCTCCTCTAGCTCCTGCGTGGGATGGACAGGTCAGGGGCTCCTAGGTGCCTTCCATCAGAAAAAGGTCCACTGAGGCCCCCAAGGGCCAGCCACTGGGCTGGGCCTCAGTCCCCTACCTGAGATGGAGACCGACAAGGGTCTGCCCAGCCGGCCCTGGAGCAGTTCTGAGGATGCTGGGAGGTAAAAGACGGGATGCCCCAGGCTGCCAGCACAGAGCAGGCCGCTGGTGGGACCTCAGGAGGCTTTTGTGGATGCTGGGAGGTGTCCAAGGCCAATGGGAGAGATACGTGGGCCAGCAAAGGCTAGTGGTGGGGGCTGCCGGGGGGGGGCCACTCACAGACCCTTGGTGACTCGTTGCGGGATCTTCCACAGAGGAAGGCAACAAGGTTGAATGCTTGTGTTTCTGAGAGAGTGAAGGGGTAGGCGTCTCCAGGCAGGAGAAGAGCACTCGCTGCTGGCAGATGACAGGAACGCACGCCCAGGAGGGAAGTAGCCTTCGGAGCCCCGAGCAGCCCTCCCACGGGAGAGGCAGAGGACCTGCTTCCTTAAGTCTGGGGCCCGCGGGTGGTCAGGAGGGGCGAAGTTGTGTCTGGTTGGTGGAACGGCAAAGTGAATCACGCGGTGTGTAATCAGCACCCGGCGTGGGAGCGAGCTGCGAGTGCGCGCGCGCACCTTCCTGTAGGATAGCGCCGCCCACCGTGGCGTGGTCGGGGCTGTCGCCACTCCTTGATGAGGAGCATGGGGGCTTCCGGATGTCCTACACTCCCCCAGCACCGGGAAAGATGCCTGCCCCTGCCCTGCACCCCGACCGTCCCTGGGGGCAAGGGTACCCCAGCCCTCCGACCGGGCAGTGCCCACCCTGGAGCCACCCTCGGCCGCCTCTGCCGCCTTGTGGGCTGAAGTTCGAGCCGGCTGTTAGGGGCGGGCGATGACGTCATGGCTCCCGGTCCAGCCGCTTCCGCCGCCTCCTCCCCCTCCTGTTTCATCCCTGGGCGGGTCACCGGACCTCAGGGCACTTACTCCCCACCCCCACGCGCTTAGGCGGCGCTCATTTGTGTTCCCTTCCTGGATGCACTCCTACCCGTGTGCTCCTGAACCCCAGCCTTTTTTGCTTCTCCCCAGACCCTCCCTGCGGTCCTCCTCCCCCCAAACAATGGGGAACTGGCCGGATCTTTTTCTCTACTTCACTAAATTAGCGCACAGTCAATGAGGGCTTCTGTGTGCTGGCCACATGTGGCAGTGAGAGGCCTGCAGGGTAGTGGCTGCCCTGGTTGCATGGGGAAGGGGCTGTCTCCCAGGGCCCAGTCTCTCCTGCCCTCCTCTCTCCTGGACTGTTTCCCTGCGGAGCCCTGAGCTCTGAACCTGGGTCCTCCTGCCCCTGTGTGACTTTGGGCAACAACTCGGAGTGCCCACACAGCAGCCCAGTACAGAGCTAGACAAATTCCCTAGCCTGTTCTCCCATGTGGTTTGTCCACTGGCCCAAATACACCTGTGCACACCAGGACCCTGGGTCAGGCTCTCCAGAACCAGTGGGTCCTTGCCTGTGGGCTCACTTCTGTATCTGTCCATCCTGGCCCCGTGGGGCTGCTTGTCCCCATTCCACAGGGCCGCTTGGACAGAAGGAAGCCAGGAATGTAGGTCTCACTCTGCCCCAGCGTGATACCTAGAAGCTGTTACATCATTTCTGTTTCAGGGCTCCTGCCAACCAGGCCTCCCTGGCAGCTCCTAGCAGTGGGGCAGGGGCCAGAGACCCCCTCCTTCCAGGGTGGCTGCGTTTCTGAGGGGAGATGGGGTGGTTAATGCTCTAGCTGAGCTGAAGAGAGGTGGCTGTGCTGAGCTGAGCCTTGGACACCTTCTTGGAACAGGGAGCACCTGTAGGGCTGGCTGTGGTCCATGAACTTGAGACCAGACATTGTCTTGACCTGATCCTGACTGGTCTGCACTGAACTGAAGTCCTACCTTGTATCTTAGTGGGATAGTAAGTAGTTTTGTAGGATCCATCCTACCCAACTGTGTGACCTTGGGCAATTTACATCCATTCAAATCCACCAGCTGCTCCTTGGAAACCCTATGGGGTAGTTCTACTCTGTTCTATAGGGTCGCTATGGGTGAGAATCCGCTCGACAGCAATAGGTTTGTTTTTTTGGGTTTGGAGACAAATTGTGTCATCTCTAAAGCGAAGATAGCCATGCCTGCCTCATGGTGGCATATGAAGACTAAGGAAATTCCATCAAGGAAATGCTTATTAGACCTTCACAGCTCCAAAAGGTCACTGCCTCACTTCGGCTTGCCCCCGACTCCCTCTGCATTGCTCAGGGAGAGGCAGGGAGGAGAAGGGGGAATCCCTCCCTAGAAGGGTGGGGCCTGGGGTGTATTCCAGCCCCACCACCTGATCCTGGGCTGCCAGGTCCCATTCCTCCTCCACCTGGCTGGTGACCAAGAGCAAGTTATCTGCTCTTTCTGGGCCATCTTCCTTGTGTGACAAAGGACAGGAGCTCAGATGAGGAGCCGTGTACTTCTCAGCCCCAGGGACCTCTAAAAGAGGACTGCGATGGGACTAGCAGGTGGGCCAGAGCTCTGGGCACAGAGCAGCCACGGCTGGTTGTACAGGTCGTGCACTGCACAGAGGCATCAGCAGAGGGGCTGGAGGGGGTGGGGCTGAGTCTATCCCTGGCTCCACTTGCCAAGCCCCATGCCCCTGCGGCACATCCCCAAAGGGCACATCTTTTTCTGATTCTTACAAAGGCTCCTACAGACTATGTCAAGGCCCAGGTGTGGGTGAGGGTTGGGAGTGGGCGTCCTCAGCCCCACCCCTTCTCCCACCCAGGTGTTGTGAGTGTGGTGCCTCCCTTTCACACCAGTACTACGAAAAGGACGGACAGCTCTTCTGCAAGAAGGACTACTGGGCCCGCTATGGCGAGTCATGCCACGGGTGCTCGGAGCACATCACCAAGGGGCTGGTCATGGTGAGCACCCCCCTGGGGGGCAGGGAACATCCTCACAGGTTTCTGGGTTCCGGGTCTCTCTCCTGTCATCTCTCTTGTTCTTCTCTTTACTGGCTCTCTGATTGTCCATGCTTTCTGCGCCTGTCTGTTTATGCCTCAGCTCCCTGTCTGTGGAGCCAGCTCTGTCTGGGGACTTAGCAGCCTACCCACCAGACCCTGGCAGTTTGTCCAGGGCTGCTCTTCTGAGAGAAGGCCAAGGGGAGGAGCTATGGGGATTGAAGGGACTGCTGAGCTGGGTTGTCCCCCAACCAGGTGGCCGGGGAGCTGAAGTACCACCCCGAGTGCTTCATCTGCCTCACATGCGGGACCTTCATCGGCGATGGGGACACCTACACGCTGGTGGAGCACTCCAAGCTGTACTGGTGAGAGCCCACCTGTGTCCCAGGTCTGCAAGGGAGACTCCCACAGCTAGAACCCCTTTCCCTTTCCATGTGGTGAGGTCATACGGGGCAGTCATCAACACCCCGTCTCTCTGGGTATAGAAATGGCCCGGAAATAAGACATAGGAGTCAGGCTGAGAGAGCCCCAAATGTCAGCTTGCTTACTGATAAAGCTAGATTAGAGGACGGCTTGATCCCCATGGGCTTGTAATGACTTCCTCCTGAACTGGATTTATCCCCAGGCCTTGTGCTGGTCAGCTTATAGCACACTAGAGAGTAGACAAACCACCGTGACTGAGCCACAGAGAGGGGCAAAGGCTGAGCTGGGCGTGCTCAGTTCCTGCTCCCAGGTCCATCAGTCAGCTAAGTCCCACCTCCTCCACTTGGGTGAGGGGAGGGAGGAGGAGCCTGGGGCTGGTGGTCGGGGTGGGGGCGTGGTGATGCTGGTGACTGTGCTGATGCCCTTTTCTCCCTACTCTGGCTTCCCACTACTTGTGGCTCTGCAGCGGGCACTGCTACTACCAGACCGTGGTGACCCCCGTCATCGAGCAGATCCTGCCCGACTCCCCTGGCTCCCACCTGCCCCACACAGTCACCCTAGTCTCCATCCCAGCCTCAGCCCATGGCAAACGTGGCCTCTCAGTCTCCATCGACCCACCTCACGGCCCGCCGGGCTGCGGCACAGAGCATTCCCACACCGTCCGCGTCCAGGGGTGAGTGGCCAGCCTGCTGAGAGTGCAGCTGGTACGGCTGTGGCCATTGATGCCCTAGGTGGGTGGCCGACTCGGGCTGGGGGCCCTGAGAATGGGTGAGCATTTGAGGACAGATAGAGCCCAACTCTGACAACCTGGTATACTAGGTGCATGGTCCAGTCGTTGCTCTGACAACCATTCACATGCTAGATGAAATATAAAAAACATTGTCTTTAATCCACATGTGGCCCAACAAGAAAGAGGAGTAGTCAGGTCAGGAGTGATTAAAAGGGGATCCAGGAGTGTCAGCAGAACACTGAAGGCAGGTATGCCTTGAGGGCACATTGAAATTGAGGAAAGGGAAGCTTCAGCTTTCAAGTCCTTTTCTGGCTGGGCTTCTCAAAGCCCTGACCTGACTGAAGAAGTTAGTCTAATAAGAGAACTGCTCCCCTCATAAAGGTGGACCCTCACAGTACTCTTATAGTGAGGATGATGAAAAATAAACCACACCTTCCATCAATCTTCCACTCCCTTACCTAAAGAACTAGAAGATAAATTGTGATTTTATCCTGAGTGGAAGTGGGATGGGGATCTTCCCTGAGAATTCATAAACTCAGGTTTACAACCTAAATTCATACACCTGAGTGGTTTTAAAAAAACGTCGAAGCAAATTTTTAATTTCAGGTGGTTCCCAACTAGTAGTTTCCCCAGGCCCTGATACAAGCTGATAAAGATCCTTTCTGGAGGAACCCACCTCCAGGCCTCAATGACTTTACTTAGATAAACACTAAGATTTACTTAGTGTTCCTAGGAAGATGAGGTATTCAGTGAAAATCACTGAATGTATAAGGAAGTGGGACACTATGAGCAAGAGTCAACAGAAACAACAGACCTACAAAAACTTCAGATGTTGGGATTATCCGAAACAATATAAAACAATTATATTGAATACATTTTAATAAATAGGAGATGCTTGAAAAATGAGTAAAGAGCAAACAAATTTGGAAAAGACCCGAAAAGAACTCCTAGGAATGAAATATACGGTTATTAAAATAAAAACTTTAATGCAGGGTTTTAACAGTAGAGAAAGATTTAGAACAGCTGAAGAGAGAACTAGATAGACAAAAGAATGAAAACTGAAAGAGAGATTAAAATATATGGAGAACAGAGTAAGAAGATCTAATAATTACCTATTTGGAGTCTCAGAGGAAAGTAGATAATGAGAGGAGAGGCAGTATTTGAAGATACAATGGCTGAGAACTTTCCAAAACTGATGAAAGACACTAATGTGCAGACTCAAGTCCAATAAATCCCAAACAGCAAAATAAAAATCCACCCATGGAGATATCTAGTGAAAGTGTACTAAACCAAGGGCAAAAGAAAAGACTAAAAATTGTTCCCTCAAAAGAGACAAATTACTTTCAAGGAAAGGACAGTTAGACTGATGGCTGATTTCTCAACAGAAACTATGGAAGTCAGAAAGCAGTGAAATGATATCTTCAATGCACTAAGTGAAAATAACCATCAATCTAGAATTCTATACTTGAAAATATCCTCCAAGAATGAGGGTGATATGTACAACCAAACACCTCATGGGTTTGGTTTCTTGGTTTGGAGGTTTAGGGTCATGGTTTCATGGGACATCCCAGTTAATTGGCCCAATAACGTGTTTAGTACTTCTGTTCTACCTCCTAGTTCATTGCATAGATCCTGGGGTCTTAAAAGCTTGCAAGCGGCCATTCAGTGTATAACTATTGGTCTCTGTTTGCCTGGAGCAGAGGAAGAAGGAGAGCAGGAACAGGAGGAGGAAATGGAATGTGGGGCTGGTTGCCTCCATGAACAACCACCTCCTTTGCCATGAGACCAAAAGAACTGGATGGTGCCCAGCTACCATTACTGAACATTTTAGTCAAAGATTCTATAGAAGAATCCTGATCAAAAGGGGGAAGGTGGAGAACAGAATTTTAAATTTTAGTTAAATCCAGATTTTCTGTAGCCATGGAGGCTGGATGAACCCCTGAGATCTTTAAACCTTAAACCAAAAATATTTCCTTTAAGTCTTAAAACCAAACAATAGTTTAGCTTAACTGTAAAGAATGTCTCCTTGAGCATTGTGCTTTCTTATGATCTGTCTATATGGGATCAGACTGATAACAGCAACCCAAAAGATTAGATAGGAAACTTAAGGGGCAGTGAGTTTATGTTAAAGAGGGAGGAACAACTCAGAAAAGGAGAACAACTCAAAGAATGTAGTCAGTGTCACTGAATTGCACATGTAGCAACTGTTGAATTGGTGTATAGTTTGCTGTGTATATTGTTAACAACAACAACAAAATTAATAAACAAAATTTAAAAAAAAGAACGAGGGTGCAACACCTCGTGGGTTTAATATCTTGGTTTGGAGGTTTACGGTCATGGTTTCGAGTAGATTCCCCATGTGTGCAGAGTAGAACTGCTCAGGTAATTGGCCTAATATCGTGTTTAGTGCTTCTGTTCTATCTCCTAGTTCGTTGCATAATGCCTAGGTCTTAAAAGCTTGCGAGTGCCTATCGAAGGCACAACAATCGGTCTTTATTCACCTGGAGCAACAGAGGAAGAAGAGGAGTCAGGAACAGGAAGAGGAAATGGAATGTGTGGCTAATTGCCTGTGTGAACAACTGCCTCTTTTGCCATGAGACCAGAACTGGATGGTGCCTGGCTACCATTACTGAACATTTTGATCAAAAGTTCTGTAGCAGAATCCTGATCAAAAGGGGGAAAATGCAGAACTGAATTTCAAATTCTCATGAACTCCAGACTTTCTGGAGCAATTGAGGCTGGATGAACCCCTGAAACTATTGCCCTGAGATAATCTTTAAACCTTAAACTGAAAATATCCCCTGAAGTTTTCTTTAAACCAAACAACAGTTTAGTTTAACTAGTAAAAAATGTCTTATCTTGAGCATTGTGCTTTTTTTAAGAACTATCTTTATGGGACCAAATTGACAACAGCAATTGGAAAGATTAGATAGAAATCTTAGGAGGTAGTGAGTTTGTCGATGAGGGAGGAACAATTCAGAAAAGGAAGGTGAGAATGATTGCACAAGTTGAAGAATGTAATCCATGTAATTGAATTGTACGTGTAGAAATTGTCGAATTGGTGTATATTCTGCTGTGTATAGTCTCAACAATGACAAAAATAAATTAATTAATTAAAAGAAGAATGAGGATGAAATAAAGACATGTTAATGCAGATAAAAACTGAGATTTGATACTAGCAGATCACACATAAAGAAAATTCTGAAGGATGTGGGAGAGGTCAGAGATGCAAGGAGTGAATACGTGTATAGTGGAGTCCCTGGGTGACGCAAACAGTTAAGCAAACAGCTGGCGGTTCAAACTTACCCAGAGGCCCTCAGAAGACAGGCCTGCTGATCTGCTTCCGAAAGGTCACACAGCCTTGAAAACCCTTTGGAGCGATTCTACTCTGCACACATGGGGTTGCCATGAGTCAAAATCTACTTGACGGCAACTACCGACAACGTGTATACATGTGTATGTACTGACTTATACATGCACACATACGTATATGTGCATATTATTGTTAGCTGCCAGACCATTTGAGAGTAAATTGCAGACTTCATTGACCTTTCCTGCCCCAAATACTTTAGACATTGTTCCTAAAACAAGGACATTCTCTTATGTAATTACCAATTGTATCTCATAGTACAATTATCTTATTTACCATTGATACGATACTATTATCTAATATACAGTTTATATTAGAATTTTACCAGTTGTCTCAGTATTATTCTTTATAGCTGGGTGGTGCAAACGGTTAAGTGTTCAACTACTAGCCAAAAGGTTGGTGGTTCAAACCTACCCACAGGCACCTCGGAAGACAGGCCTTGCGATCTGCTTCCTGAAGGTCACAGCCTTGGAAACCCTTTGGAGCACAGTTCTGCTCTGACATACATGGGGTCACCATGAGTTGGAATCGACTCAGTGGCAACTGCCAACAACACCACTATACATATTCCCATTTTAACAGTTGTCTCGATACTATTCTTTGTAGCAAACCACCCCCCGCAGGATCCAATCATGATCCTACATTGCATTTAATTGCCATGGCTCTTTGGTCTCTTCAACCTGTGACAATTCCTTAGCCTCTGCTTGTCTTTCACTTCCTTGACATTTTTTATGAGTACAGGCCAGTTACGTAGAACGTCCCTCAATGTGAGCTAGACTGGTGCTTCCTTTCCGTTAGATTTAGGTTCTGCGTTTTGGGCAGGATACTGCACGAGTGACGCTGGGTCCTTCTCCGTGTGTCTCATCAGGAGGCACATGCTGTCCGGTGTACTGGGTGCCAGCGTTGAGGACTTGGTCACAGCAGGGTCCAGTTTCTCTATTTTACAATAGAGAAATGTTTTACAGGAACGTTTTCCCTTTGTAACGGGTAAGTCATTTGTGAGGAGCTGTGCACTGGTAATACCCTGTTCCCCAGCCGCCTCTCAGCAGCTTTCAGTACCCAGTGTGGATTGTTGCCTCTATTGGTTTTGACTACAATGGCTGTAAAACAGCAATTTTCTAACTCTTGTTTTCCTTCTGCTTTTAGTAGTTGGCTTTCTGTAGTAAGGAAGTGCTTCTCCGCCATGGGAGAATACACTTACATCGCTAATGGAGACTTGTGAGCCTGTTTTCCTTAGTGTGCTCAGTCTCCTCTCTGCCCAGCTGCCCCACTGCTGGGAGCTAGGGCGGAGATGAAGTGGCACCTCTTAAAAAGCTTGTATGAATACAAAATGGAAACCAGGTAACTAAAAGTAAAGGTTTAAAGTAAGCAAGTAAATTTGGCAAATTGGCCATCTGTGACTTAGCTCTTGGCCCCAGCTAAGGAAGGATCTGGAGCCCTTGTGGCGCAGTGGTTAAGAGCTCAGCTGCTAACCAAAAGGTTGGTAGCTTGAATCCACCAGCCACTCCTTGGAAACCCTATGGGGCAGTTCTGCTCTGTCCTGTAGGGTCACTATGAGTTGGAATCTACTCAGTGGCAACAGGTTTAAGCAAGGGCCTCCAACTGTGGCTCAGAGCAGGCTGCTAGCCCCTTTCTGCCAATTCAGGACTAATGGGAGCTTTAGCCACATCTTGCAGGGGGAGTGTCAGGTAGAAAGCCAGTGGATCCAGACCCTCTCAGGACTCATCTTACCCTGTCACTCATCTGCCCTAAGCATAGCAGGCAGTTGGAAGGATAAGTCTGTCCCCATGGTGGAGACAATACTCTATTGAAGAAGCTGAGCATCTTGTCTGGGACAGCAAATAGCTAGAGGCGTGCCACCTTTCTCCAGTTTCATGCCTGTGGCAGACATGAGTAATTGATAATAGAACTCTTCCCTCCAAACCAGAACTCAGTGTTCTGGACAGTTGCTGCCTGTCGATCGTGCAAGATCACCCCCTCACCTCTGATCTGGTCCCCTCGGCTTTGGTTTCTTGTTGGGGCTTCAGGGCCTGGCGGGTACTGGTCTGACCACTGCTCTTTGCCCATAGAGTGGACCCGGGCTGCATGAGCCCAGATGTGAAGAATTCCATCCACATTGGAGACCGGATCCTGGAAATCAATGGCACACCAATCCGGAACGTTCCCCTGGATGAGGTACGGGGTCCTGAGTCTGGGGAGCAAGGATGAAGGTGATGTCTTCTTGCCTGACCCCCCACCTCCTGCCACGTGCCATGCCTGTCCACACCTGCTCTCCCCAGATTGACCTGCTGATCCAGGAAACCAGCCGCTTGCTCCAGCTGACTCTTGAGCACAACCCGCATGACACGCTGGGCCATGGGTCAGGGCCTGAGCACAGCCCCCTGGACTCCCCTGCTCACACTCCCGGTGGGGAGGCAAGCAGCGTGGCCCGGCAGAAGCCTGTCCTGTAAGTCAGCCCTGCTCCTTGGTTTACCTAGTTACTTTGTCAGACGCTGGGCCTTGGGGGAACGGGACCTGGTCCCCACGCTCCAGTGGCTCACAGTCTGATGGGGAAGTCAGCTCTGTAAAAAGGCAGCCCTCACAGGGTGCTAGAGACTAAGAAAGAAAAAGGTTAGTGAGAAGTGGGAAAATAGGAAAGTACCTTCTCCAGCTGGGGAATTACACAGGGCGTTGCAGGAGGGCCAGCAGTAGGCAGGTAGCTCAGGATGACAGGAACATCGGGCGGGGTGGGACAGCAGGCTCTGAGGCTGAAGCTAGTGGCGGGGGTCTGGATTTTGTCCTGCCCATCGTGGGTCCCACTGAAAGGGCATTGTAGCAGAAAGATGTGTTTTGCAAAGATCACAGCCTGTTAGCCTGTGCAGAACGGCCTAGAGGATGGGGCCTCACAGCAGGAGTCTGCTGGAGGCTACTGTACTGGTCCAGGCCGGAGGTGCCAAGGGCCCAGTATCTTCCTGCACCAGGGGCATGAGCAAGAAGGCCAGAGGCAGCCTGGTCTCACTCCACTCCTACCGTGGGACCTGCTCAGGACGCCTTCTGGGCTGACTGCACTTGAGATGTTGATGTTGCATTTCCTCTTCATCTCCCATGTGTCTGGAGCCCAGGCCACCCTGTAGACCACCTGTGTGTGGGGTTGTGGGCATCTTGGGCAGGTTGTCTGCCTCTGCGCCCTTACGCCTGGAACAAAGCATCCGACACAGGACCACTAGGCAGAGGAGGGCGAGGACAAACATTCCTGCTGCATGAAGACTGAGGAGGGCAGGAGGGAGCTGGATGGGATGAGACACAGGCAGCCGTGTGACGGCCCCAGGCAGGGCCCAGATGGGGCGCCCCCTGTTAGGGTGGGGCCCAGATGGGGCACCGCCTGCCAGAGTGGGGCCCAGATGGGGCATGGCAGGCAGGGAGGGGGAAGGTGGCCGCCTCCCCCGGTGGCACTGGGCTCGGTGTGTGCCTCCCCAGAAGGAGCTGCAGCATTGACAGGTCTCCAGGTGCTGGCTCACTGGGCTCCCCAGCTGCCCAGCGCAAGGATCTAGGCCGCTCTGAGTCCCTCCGTGTGGTCTCCCGGCCTCACCGCATCTTTCGGCCATCGGACCTCATCCATGGGGAGGTGCTGGGCAAGGGCTGCTTCGGCCAGGCCATCAAGGTACGGGCATGCCAGGATGGGCAGGGCAGTGAGTGGGAGCAGGGTGAGCAGGAGGGGTGAGGTCTATCGGTCCCCCCTTCCTCCCCCACCAGTGCCCTCCAGGAGTCCACAGTGGAAGGGGTGTCAGGCTTCTAGATGCCCTGCCAGTGCTCTCTCCCCCATCTTTGTCCCTTCAGCTAGTTACTACAGGTAGGCCCAGAACTTGGCGTGGAGTTGGTTGTCGAGGCTGGTCCTCGGCGTAGGGGCGTGAGGGCAGACAGCCCAGGCTGATCCTGCAGTCCCTCCCCTGGGCCCCATGCTGAGCCTTATGCCAGACTCACTGTGGTCCTGGAGCTGCTTACCCCCTTCATGCCTTTTCTGTTTCCTTTTCAATTTGGAGATCTTTTTTTTTTTTGTTATTGTTGTTAAATTATCTGGTGTTAATTTTGGTTAATCAAGAATGAAACTGACACTTTCAACTGGCTTTTAGGATCTATATCACAGCTTCTGATGTGTATTGGCAAGCTGAGCCAATTTCATCAAATTCTCAGAGACCTGCCTTAGGTCTGATGTAACGTGGTTGTGACCAGGCTGGAAGGTTCAGGCTTATGCAGAAGGTGCATGTCCAGACAGACCCAAGTCCAGCCCCTGTCCCTGGTCCCCTTGCCTGGGGAGGAGTCCCTGTTCGAGCCACCATTTCACCTCTAGGAGTAAGCAACCAGAGCAGAGGAAAGAGCTGGCCCAAGTCCCAGCAGTCCCCCTTCCCTGCCAGCTGGGTGACCTTGGCCCTATTAGGAAAGCTGTCTGAGCCTCAGTTTACTTATCTGTAAAATGGGATTTATAAGTTCCACCCCCTTGTGGGGCTGGGAGCAACAAATGAAAGGTCTGTGAAGTGCCCTGCGCAGTGTGTAATCCCCCTGCAGTCCTGGGTGGGGACAAGGCTCCTGCAAGGAGGACTTAGAGCAGAGCCTGTCTCCATACCTTGGCGTCTCCACACAGGTGACACACCGGGAGACAGGCGAGGTGATGGTGATGAAGGAGCTGATCCGGTTCGATGAGGAGACCCAGAGGACCTTCCTTAAGGAGGTCAGCTGGCTTCACCAGATTTCTAGGGCATGCCCATAGTCCCCACCCCCTTCCCCAGTGAGGGGCAGGCTGGCAGAGGGGCTCTGGGAGGATGTGACGCTCAAGCCGCATGGTGAAAGAAGAGAACGTATTTGCAGGGAGGGCATCCCTGGGGTGGGAGCAGCCCAAGCAAGGGTGCACGTGGGCCTGGCATGGCAGGGGTGGGGAGGGGAAGTGTGAGCGGAGCCCCAGGCCCAGCCTGTCTGTGCTCTGCCAGGTGAAGGTCATGCGCTGCCTGGAGCACCCCAACGTGCTCAAGTTCATCGGGGTGCTCTACAAGGACAAGAGGCTGAACTTCATCACCGAGTACATCAAGGGGGGCACACTATGGGGCATCATCAAGAGCATGGTGAGGGCCAGGCAGAGCCCCGTGGCTGCACCACCCCAGCCCCTCCCGCTGTGTGCCCCTGGGCAGGGCCCTCCCAGGCCTCAGGCTCCCCATCTCCTCAGTGGGGATCGGTGTCTGCCATCTCAAAGGCCCTCCAAGCCCTGATTCTGAATCTGAACCGAGAGGGGATTACAGACTCCTTCTCAAGCCAGTAAACAGCTGGGGCCCAGAGAAAGGCAGCTGCTTCCCCCAGGGGAGCGCACTGCTTCTGTGTGGCCACCCTGCAGGGCCCGTTCTCAATGGCTGATCCCCAGCCTCACAAGCAGATGCGGGTGCAGAAGGGACTGGAGGGTCATCAGACCCTCCAGACACTTGCCCCTCCTACCCACTGTCACCTGCCTGTCCCTGCCTCTATGGCCCCAATGGATCATCCCTGGTCTGCTCTCCCCACCCCCAGGACAGCCAGTACCCCTGGAGCCAGAGGGTGAGCTTTGCCAAGGACATTGCTTCTGGAATGGTGAGTAGGATCTGGCTCTGACCTGCTGGGCAAGGGCTGGGTGATCTGACCTTACTTAGAAGAAAGTCCTCTCCCACTAACCTGTCTCAGGGTCGAACCTTCCACCATTAGCTCTTTCTAGAAATGGGACCCACAGGAAGCTTTGAAACAGGGTGGAGGAGCACCCCGACTGGCCTGACTGGGGCGGGAAAGAGGTGGGAGCCTCACAGGGCCAGGCCTGGGCTGGTCCCTTGGCCCCACTGTCTCCTGACTTCCATGCCCCCCCACCCCACCCCACCTAGGCCTATCTCCACTCCATGAACATCATCCACCGGGATCTCAACTCCCACAACTGCCTGGTCCGTGAGGTGAGCAGCCCAGGCCCCAGGCCGCCACACCCCCACCCGCAGGGCCTTCCTTAAACTGGGGCCCCTAGGTCACCTCCCCACTCCAGTTTGAGGTGGGCAGGAGGTGGGGGCAGCAGCCTGTGGGAAAGCACTTGGGGTCAGGAGGCAGACAGACCTGGGTTCACATCCTGGTTCAGCCATTCACTGCTGTGTGGCTCCAGCCACAACACTTAACCCCTCTGGGAGTCAGAAAAGTAGAGAAATCCAGCCACTGCCCCATTGACGGCCTAGGCCTTTACAAAGGTTGAATGAGTGGGTGAGAGAGAAAGTGATGTGTAGACTGTAAGGGACCACTGGCATGGGAGTCACAGAACAGCCCAGGGCAGAGTGGTCACGGCTGCACTGGGCAGCACCAACAGCTGGAGGGCCCGTAGGAGGGCGTAGGTGTGATGGGGGGGTAGGAGGCTTTGTGGGGATTTCTTAGGGAGGGGTTGGGGTCAGGGAGCCCAGGTGTAAGGGGTGGTGGCTGCGGGGACCATAGGCTGTTCACAGAAGGCTGAAGAGGGAGTTACCATGGGAGACAAGGTTGAGACCCAGTCCTAGACAGGGAGATTCCCAGCTAGGAGTTTGGGGAGTAACTTCAGTGCAGGAAGAGAGAACAGCATATGCAAAGGCCCAGAGGAGGGACATTCAGGAGGTGATGAGTCGGGAAGTCATGGGTGGAGAGCACCTGTGGGGAGGATGGATCTATCTCACAGGGCTCCCGGGAGTGCTCACACTGCCCCTACTGGCCATGGTGAGTCATTGCTGGGGACTAGGAGTTGTAGACTACTGGGCCTCTGTCCCCCGGCAGGGACCATTCTGGAGAATCTCATGACAGCTGTGAGCCCTCCTGTCCCCATCTGTGCACAGCCAACACTTGCTGACGATTTGGGGCCCCTGAGGTCCCTAATGGCCCCCCTCACTGGTTCCCCTGGAGCTGTGCATCTCCTAGGAGGGTCAGTGGACCTGTATGAGGAGACCCTGGAGGACCTGGTTAAACTGCAGATGTCTGAACCTCACCTCAGATCTTCTGATCGGGACAGGGCAGGAATCAACATTTAAACAGGGCAGGGGGTGCCTGAGGGTCCTGGGTTAAGACCTCCTGACCAGCTGCTGCCACCTGGTACTACACCTGAGGAGATGGAGCCCAGAAAGGGGCCATGTTCATCTGCGGGCTTGTCAAGGGCCCAGAATGCCCGTCCAGCCCCTCCCCTGTGGCCTTCTCAGAAGGGTGTTTTCTCTCCATGACTTTCCCATTTGTGTCGCTCCCAGAGGTGGGCAGCACAGGGCCTTTGCCTTCGAGATGGCCGGGCTGGCTCCCCGTCTCATGGCCCTCTCTATACGTTGGTGCCCCAGGGCATGGAGGCCCCACCTGCCCCACCCAGAATGCCCATGAAGTAGTGGCCAACCCCAGGGCTGGCAAGGAAGGTCCAGGCTGCCGGGGCCATGGACACCAGGCCCCTGGACACCAGACCCACACACACACCAGCCCCAGGAGCTGCAAAGACCCATCCAGCTCCCTGCCTTGGTGTTTATGCCAGGGCTTCCTCCCACCCCTCAGCTCTCAGGGACCCTCCTGACCCTCTTGTCTTGCAGAGGTAGACACAGCAGTCAGCATGTACCCTGTGTGCAGGGTGCCAGACTGGGCCCCGGAGGGCGCTTCACAAGCCTAGAACACTGAGCAGGGGCTCTCAAGTCCTGGGTTTGAGTGCTAGCTGGGTGTCCTCACAAGTTTTCATACTCTCTCTGGGCTCATTTATCAAGCGGGGATAAAAATAATACGTATGTCACTGGGTTGTTGGGAGAATACATCTAGAATGTGCCAAGCATAGGACCTGGGGCATCTAATTACAATTACTCTTTACTTTTCCAAAACAGGGCAGAGAGCGCCAGGGCCCTGTGAGGGGCAGAGGTGGTGCCCAGAGGAGGGAGCGGTGGGGGTGCCAGGGTGGTTTCTGGGGGAAAAGATGTGGGGGGAGAGCACTGGCATTTTCAGGGAGCTTTAAGCAGCTCCATGAGAAAAGAGCAGTGAGGGCAGGGGTCCCCACCTGTGCTTGAGCCCCTCTGAGGAGTGGGGTCGCAGCCCTTGGGCAGGGTCAGAGGCTGTCTGTGGACCCAGGTGGGCTTCAGGATAGAGCAGGGTGGGCCGGTAGTGCTACGACCATGGCTCCGTGTGACCCAGCTTCATTGTCACCCAGAACAAGACTGTGGTGGTGGCAGACTTCGGCCTGGCACGGCTCATGGTAGATGAGAAGACGCAGCCCGAGGACCTGCGGAGCCTCAAGAAGCCGGACCGCAAAAAGCGTTACACGGTGGTGGGCAACCCCTACTGGATGGCACCCGAGATGATCAACGGTGAGTGGGCAGCGGGCTACCCCTCCCCCTGCCCAGGGTTGGCCCTGCACCCGCACCTCTGAGTCCCAGACAGAACCATAGCCTCCTGACGCCTGGCCTCTCCCGGCCGCTGCAGCCCCTCAGCGGCCCATTTGGTCCAATATGAGTTTTCTGTGGCTGCTACAACTTACACACACTTAGTGGCTTAAAATAACACAGATTTATTCTCTCACAGTTCTGGAGTCCAAAATCTGTCTCACTGGGCTAAAGCCAAGGTGTTGGCAGGGCTGGTTCCTTCCAGAGGCTCTGGGGAAGACCAGTTTACTCGCCTTTCCCAGTTTCTGGAGGCCACCTGCACTGCCTGGCTCGCAGCCCCTTCTGTCACCTTCAAGGCCAGCACTGTAGCATCGTTACATGTCTCTCTCCCTCTCTGACCTGCATTCGCCATCACCTCTCCTTCCCTGACTGGCCCTCCTTCCCTTTCCTGTAAGGACACTTGTGATGGCGTTTAGGGCCCTTCTCCAGCCATCTCAAGACAGATACTTGGTCACATCTGCAAAGTCCCTTTGGCCATATAAGGTAACGTTCACAACTTCTGGGGATTAGAATGTGGGTATCTGTCTTTTTCTTTATTTCTTTTTTAATCTCTGAGGACTAAGTCATGAAAAACACAATCTACGCATTTTAAGAGGACACTGATGATTTTTCCCCATCCCCCTCTCCCGATCCCTTGGGAACCCCCAGTTTTCTTTTGTCTTGATGGATTTACCTATTCCAGATAGTTCCTATAAGTGGGACCATAAAATATTTATTCTTTAGCGACTGACTGACTTCACTCAGCATAATGTTTTCGAGGTTCATCCATGTTGTAGAACTTCATCCCTCTTTATAGCTGAATAATACTCCACTGCGTGTGTAGACCACATTTTGTTTATCCACTTCTCTGTTGATGGCACCTGGGTGGTTTCAGGATGTGGATCTCTTCGGGGGACCATTCTCCAGCGGACCACAGGTCCTCTCTCCCTCGCTCCATTCCTTGTTCTCATGCCTGTCACCTAGTGCTCCCATACATGCCCAGACCATATGGGTCATGAAGCCCTCCATGGGCAGGTGGAACCCAGTGACCCAACCACAGACAGGGTCAGAGCAGGCAGGTGGCCATCACCTCTGCATCAGCACTGACCAAAGTTACATAGCCCCCCAAATACTGCAACCTATAAACTGGTATTGACAGTCCCAGTCTTTAAAGGATGGAGTGAGGATTAGAGATAAGGTTTGTCAAATCGGCATTCAGTAAGCTAGAGTGGTTATACTGATGGTTTTTAGCATTGTTAGGTAAGTGGCTTTATTCCCATTTTGCAGTTGAGGAAATTGAGGCTCAGAGGGTCCATAACTTGCCCGGAGTTATACAACTGATCAGTGACTGAGCCAGAACTAGAACTCCTTGCCCAGGTCTTTCATACTCACCCCCAGGTCTCCCAAAGTGTTGCTTAGGCCTTGTGGGGTCGGGGGCAGAGCCTAAGCCCTGACCCCCATGAAGGTTGCTAGCATCTGCCTCCTGGCCCTGACCTGCAGCACAGGGTATCCACTCAGCTGGCCAGTGTCTGGCCGCCTGGCACTGGGGGCGGATCCCCAGTGCTGACCGTCTGTCTCTGTCCAGGCCGCAGCTATGATGAGAAGGTGGATGTGTTTTCCTTTGGAATTGTGCTGTGTGAGGTAGGTCTGGGCACAGGCAGCAGGTGGCGCCAGGGCTGGGTGGCTTCTCCTCCCCGCTTCCCCCATGCCCAGGCTGTAGGCAGGAGGTCTATAAGGGCCTCAGGCCAGGGAGGCTCTAGGAATGGGCTGTCCCCAGTGGGGGGCGGTGGTCAGGCTGGGGCCAAGCCAAATGTGACCTGCCCTCAAACCTACCTGGGTGGCATTCAGACCCCTAGCCCACAAGGTGCCTTGAGTAACCAAGGGGCCTTGTGTGGGACAGATCATCGGGCGGGTAAACGCAGACCCTGACTACCTGCCCCGCACCATGGACTTCGGCCTCAATGTGCGAGGCTTCCTAGACCGCTACTGCCCTCCGAGCTGCCCCCCGAGTTTCTTCCCCATCACTGTGCGCTGCTGTGACCTGGACCCTGAGAAGAGGTGAGGGGTGGGCTGGGCTGTACTGGAGGTAGGCTGGCCCGAGCACAGCCAGGTGAGGGGGGGACTGGGCCGAGCACAGCCAGGTGAGGGGGGACTGAGCCTAGCACAGCCAGGTGAGGGGGGACTGGCCTGAGCACAGCCAGGTGAGGGGGGCACTGGCCTGAGCACAGCCAGGTGAGGGGGCGACTGGGCCGAGCACAGCCAGCATCCTGAGAGGTGAGAGAATGCTGGGCTGCACTGGAGCCGGCTGGCCCAAGCACAGCCAGGACCCACTGTCCTCCTGCTTGTCACCCAGGCCCTCCTTTCTGAAGCTGGAGCAGTGGCTGGAGACCCTCCGCATGCACTTGGCCGGCCACCTACCACTGGGCCCACAGCTGGAGCAGCTGGACAGGGGCTTCTGGGAGACCTACCGGCATGGCGAGAGCGGACTACCTGCCCACCCTGAGGTCCCCGACTGAGCCCGACCTACCCAGCTACCCCATCTTCCTACTACAACCGGGTTCCGGCTCTGCAGGAGGGGGCCAGGCGTGGAGCCCGCAGCTGGGGCAGTGGAGGCCCAGAGCCCGCCCTCAGCGCCAGGCCCCTGACTTGCCTTCTCCTGCCCAGCAGGTGTGGCCCCTGCTCTTCCTGCCCTCAGCCCCAGAGCTGGCCTAGCTGCACACATACCACCTCGCCCTGCCTTACCTCTGTTGTGGTGGGGCTGCCCCCTCGCTTCTCATTGCATGAGCTGGAGGAGCCTGTGTGAGTCGTGCCCCTGTCTACCTGCTGCCGCCAGCCACCACCTCTCTGCAGCCCTCCGAGGCTGGGCCAGAGACAGCCTTAGCCCTGTGCCCTGGTAAAGGCTGGGTACGTAGGAGGGTTTGTGTCAAGGGAGGCGGGGGCCAAGTTCCCAGGAGCCAAATGGGGAGTCTAGGGCCACGTCACCCTCCAGGGGTGTCTAGGTAGCAGCAGGTATTGATAATCACCCAAACCCCAGAGCAGAGGAAGGTCTGATGCTGCACATGGAAGTCTCCATTGGCCCGGCAGCAGCCCTTTCTCTTGCTTTGGGTCTTTTTTGTTTATTGAAGCCAGTTTAGTGAGAAGCAGGTACCAGGCCCCAGGGTGAAGAGAGGGTCCCTTGAGGTGGAGGGAGCGTGGTCCCTGGGCCTGAGACGTAGGGAGGAGCAAACCCAGGCACAGAAAGGTTGGGCAGAGCGGACAAGGCAGGTGTCCACCAGCATCCCAGCCCCCAGGTTCATCTCAGTGTCCCGTCCTGGGCTTCCCCCTGAGGGCCCTGCCAGTGGCTGGAATAGGCCCTGCCCCTGATGTCCCTATGTTCTCTGGGTTCTTCCTGTGTAATCTATTTTTTAAGAAGAGTTTGTATTATTTTTTCATATGGCTGCAGCAGCAGCTGCTGGGGGCTTGGGGTTTTATTTTTTTGGCAGGCGGTGGGTGGGGGCCATTTTGTCACTTTGCCTCAGTTGAGCATCTAGGAAGTATTAAAACTGTGAAGCTTTCTCAGAGCACTTTGAACCTGGAAAACCATCAGAAAGGCCTGTGGGACCATGACTTAGGGAGGTGGGGCATGCTCACCTCCATCCAGGAACCGTGCTGTCTAAGAAACAAAACCCAGACACAGAACAATAAATACATTCTGTACTCCCCACCCAGATCCAGCATCGTGGTGTGTGTCTGGGGGCCCCAGGGAAATGGACAAGTGGGGGAACCTGGTGCTGCGTAGAACTTGGGAAGACATGAACAGAGGGGCAGGGGGTGACGAGAGCAATGCAGAGGTCAAAGAGCACCCTGACCCCAGCCCAGTGTGGTGCAGAGCAGAGGTAGTGGTCCAGCCATGACAAGGGAAGATTTTTTATTAACCGCAGGAAGCAGATACCACCTGTTGGGCTGGGAACCTGAGGAAAGGGGTGGTTATTTCAGTTACCTGCTGTGCATAACAACTCATCCCTAAATTTGGTGGCATAAAATAACAGTGATCTTCATTTCTGACAATCTCTGTTGGTCAGGAATTTGGAAGAAGCCTAGATGGGTAGTTTTGGTTTGAGATCTCTCTTGAGGTTGCAGTCACATATTGCCCGGGGCTGGAGGGTCCACTTTCAAGGACCCTTCCATGTAGCTCACTCACATTGCTGACCAATTGGAGCTGGCTGTTAGTGGGAGGCCTCAGTTCATCAAGGGCTTCTCCACAGGGCAGCTTGAGTGTCCTCACAACATGGCAGCTGCCTTTCTCTAGAGGGAGTGGTCCAAGAGAGCAAGGGAAATGCTTCAATGCCATCTATGACCTAGCCTCAGAAGTCATACACCATCACTTCCTTCATGTTCTATTGGTCACACAGACCAACCTTGATTCATTGTGGGAGGGGACTACACAAGGCCATGAATACCAGGACCAGGAGGGAACATTGGGGGTTATCTTGGAAGCTGGCTAAGAGCTTGGAAGGAGGAGCCCCATGGGACCAGTGCTTGGATTTTTGTGTGTTGGGGCAGATCCTAAGCAGTGTTGCTGTCGGAACTTTCTAAAGAGGTAGATGCAAAAATGGTAAGTGCTAGAGCAAAACGTCTGCTACTGCTGACTAGCATTGGAGAGAAGAAAGTCCTTTTTTTCCACCTTAGTCTCCTTTAGCTGGCTCCTGTTGGCAGGCAGAACTTGAAACCAGCTGGCAAGGAAGTCTGGGAGATGTAGTTTTCAACATTCCACCAACAGAAAATGGAAAGTGGGTTTGGGGCTGAGATACAGTAAGTAAATAACCAGCACAGTCCACCACTATGGCTATTCATCACTGATAGATTTAGCTTCCATTCAACTCAACTTTATGCTTCCACCCAGCAAAGATGCAATATCCTTTGTACAAAGATGCTACCACTCTCTTCATAAATGACAGCAAAGTTCTACAGTCATCACTTCTGAGCAATGTAGCGCTATAGGCAGAAGCACCACGCTGTCCCTCTACAGCAAAGATCCGAAAAACTAAGCCAAACAGAAAACGGCAATCCTGAAACCCTAAGCATCAAATGAAGAGATAACTCAGCCAAGCACTGGATGAAATAAGAAACTGACAAAGAAGAGAGAGCAAGGAGAGATACATGCAGAGGTCCCCTATCAGCTAACGCAGCATGGATCTGCCATCTTGGACCCCTATCAGAAACCAGTGAATGGGATACGAGAAAGCAGCTTCACGGAACTTCCAGCAGGATACAGAACAACCGGTAACCAGCGATACATGCTTTCCCACCCCCCACCATTCTTCACCCATACTCGGCCTCCTCTGCTTCCTGCGGCCACAGTCTCTTGGCCGGGAAGCACCGGCTTCACCCATGTCACTTGGATTCCACCCACCCACCCTGGCCAGCTCCCTAAGTGCCATTTACTGGCTGCTGGTGTTGCTTTTTTCTCACTCTTTAGATTTCTTCCTTACCTCTCACCACCTCCCCACCCCCACTTCTGTCAAATACCTGGCTCCGTGTGCCATCTTTGCTTCTTCCTGAAAGACTGTGAAATGCCACTTGAATCTGAGACTGCTTCCCGGCTGGTGCTGCCAGGCTGGTGGGATCCTGGGACTTTGTTTGTTTTGAATTGTTTTTCCTTTCTCGAGTTGGGAGCCCGTTCTAGCCAGGCAGTGCTGTGTGGCTTGGGACCTACCCCCTCAGTTTTTGCGGACACGCAGAGGGATTCCTGAGGACATTTCTTTTTTCTTTTTTCTGGTTTTTTTTTTTTGGGGGGGGGTTCTTGTTCTTTTTTTTTAATTTGTTTTTGTTTTCCCTTTTTGACTTTCTTCATTACTCAGTTGCTTGTCTGTCTATACTTTCCTTCTCTTCCTGTCCCCTGAATACCTGGCACTGAGTGACACCTCTACCCCTTCTAGCCAGGCTGTACTTCACGGCCGGGGAGCAACTTCCCCAGACCTCGTAGCCACACCGGTAGGATCCCTGGGAGCTTTTCTTTTTTCTAATTTTTATTTATTCTTTTTTTCTTCTCCTTTTTGTTTTTCTCCATTTCATAGCCTCTCATCTCTCCACTCCAACAGCAAGCTCCCTTAGCACTCTTTTGTTTGTATGTTTTTGGCTCTTGTTCCTCTCTCCTCTCTCCCATACCCATCTTAGCTCCATGCATCACAAACTCCCCCCTGCATCCTGCCTACCTGCACCACATGCTGAACATCACACCACCAAGCAGCCCAGGCACAGCCTACTGGAACCTGCCCTGCACTGATTACCAGCCCGCCTGGATGGCCACAGTAAGTGCCACAAACAACCCATCCCAGCAACTCCTCTTCAGCTAGACCTGCCCTGCTGTACCATATCTGAGCAACTGACACTGCCAGTTGGAGAAGGAGGCAAAAAGTACCATGCCCACAGACGAGCAAACAACAAAGAACACCCAACCCGCCTGCTCAGACATAGCCAAATAAAACAAAAAAATAGGACGAAACAAATCGACAATCAATAAATAAGAAAAATAACTACTGAATGCCCCGAAGACAGCAGACAATTATCAAAACATTTACAAAAACAAGACAAGATGGTTCCAATAGGCATCCAAAATAAAATACCAGATGACCTTCCAGGAGAAGAAAAGGCACTAGAACTACCTGATAGGGAATTCAAATCTCTAATACTGAGAATTATCCAAGAGTTGAAGCAAAAAGCAGACAAAAATGAAGAAAAAAATAAACAAATTCATGGAAAAGGGAGAGAAATTCATGGAAAATACAGACCAAAAAAATGGAATAATTAAGGAAAATAATGCAGGAACAAAATGCCAAAATAAATTTACAACTAGAAATCATACAAAAACAACAATTAGAAATCCAAAAGGTAAACAACAAGATATCAGAAATGGACAGTGTCATAGAAGGTCTGAGGAGCAAGTTTGAAATGGTGGAAGGCAGGATCAGCGAAATCAAAGACAAACACTTGGATACAACTCTGAGGAAAAAAAGCAGGAAAAAAAAAAGAAGAAAAATGAAGAGACCCTGAGAATTATGTGGGACAATCAACAGCAAAAATTTGTGAATGATTGGAGTTCCAGAACAGGGAGAAAACAGAGAAAAGAGAGGACCACTGAAGAACTGCTGACAGAAAACTTCCCCAATATCAAGAAAGATGAAAAGCTGACCATCTGAGAAGCTCCACAAACCCCATATAGAATAGACCCCAAAAGAAAATCACCAAGGCATATCATAATTACACTCACCAAAACCAAAGACAAAGAATCCTCAGAGCAGCTCGAGGAAAACAAAAAGTCACATACACAGGAGAAACAGTAAGACTAAGCTCAGATTATTCGGCAGGAACCATGCAGGCAAGAAGGCAATGGAATGACATATATAAAACCTTGAAAGAAAAAAATTGCCAGCCAAGAATAATATATCCTGCAAAACTCTCACTCAAATATGAGGGTGAAATTAGGACATTTCCAGATAAACAGAAATTAAGGGACTATGTAAAAACCAGACTAAACTTACAAGAATTATTAAAGGGAGTCCTTCAATCTGAGAACAAACATCAGCTCACAGGCTGAATCTAGGATGCAGGATCATACCAGCTAGATACCAATCTCGGAAATGAACTCTCAAGGACTATCCAAAACCAAAAGAAATACAACAGAGAATCAGAGCAGTTAATCTGTAAATGACAGCAACATCAGAACAATAAAAGGGAATCAATGATATAGGTTTAGAACGTTCTTATGGAGAGGAAGGCAAGGCAATACCAAGTAATAATAGATAAGTGGTAACTTTGGTGAAGGGTAAAACAGTACACAGTACTGGGGAAGCCAGCACAACTTGTACAAGGAAAGGTCATGGAAGCTCCATAGACACATCCAAACTCCCTGAGGTACTGAATTGCTGGGTGGAGGGCTGTGGGGACCATGGTCTCAGGGAACCTCTAGCTCAATTGGCATATCACCTTTTATGAAGACAATGTTCTACATTCTACCTTGGTGAGTAGTGTCTGGGGTCTTAAAAGCCTGTGAGCAGCCATCTAAGATACTCCACTGGTCTCACCCCTTCAGGGGCAAGGGAGAATGAAAAGAACAGGATACAAGGAAAAGATTAGTCCAAAGGACTAATGGACCACAGCTACCAAGGCCTCCACAAGACTGAGTCCAGTACAGCTAGATGGTGCCTGGCTACCACCACTGACTGCTCTGACTGGGATCACAACAGAGGGTTCTGGACAGAGCTGGAGAAGAACGTAGAACAAAATTCTAACACATAAAAAAAAAGACCAGATTTACTGGCCTGACAGAGACTGGAGAAACCCCAAGAGTATGGCCCCCAGACACCCTTTTAGCTCAATGGTGAAGTCACTCCCAAGGTTCACGATTCAGCTGGGGATTGGACAGCCCCATAAAGCAAAACGGGACTAATGAGGCACAGCAGTCCAGGGACAAGGACTAGAAGGCAGAAGGGGACAGAAAATCTGGTGATAGGGAACCCAAGTTTGAGTAAGGACAGTGTTGACATGTCGTGGGGTTGTTAACCATTGTCATAGGGTAATATGGGTACCGTTTAATGAGAAACTATTTTGTTCTGTAAACCTTCATCTAAAGTGAGAATAGCAGCTCAACTGGAAGAACATAATTGATGTCACTGAATTGTACATGTAGAAATTTTTGAAATGGTGTTATCTTTGGCTCCGTAT